GCCAACCTGGGGAGGGGCCCCGGCGCCCGCGGGCAGGTGCGGAGCGGGGGCGGGGACGCTGTCCACCAGCAGAGCCCACGCTGTGTCAAGAGCCTCTTCTCCGGGGTTTACAGACAGCCTTCCAGGAAAAGGAACCGCTTTCCGCGTCCTGGAAGGGACCTGGGAGATAAACTAGTCCAAACCGCTGCTTACAGATGGGAACACTTCCAACCGAGAATCTGTGCCCAGGGACACAGGCAATTCGGTCTAGACCCTCCGCCCTGCTCCGCCCAGCGCTCCTTCAAGGCCCGCTGCCTTCTGACCCCAAGTCCCAGTGCCATGTCCGCCACAGACCCCCCCAAATGCTGGCCTCCCTTTTCTCCCCACTCCAACTTACGGCTTTGGACTCAAGAGAAACAAGGCAGGAGCCTGGCCTCAGGGCAGAATCTGGGGGGTGGGAGCGGAGGGTGCTCTGGCCTGCCCATCTGCCCCCACACTCCCCTCCACACCCCACACCCTCTCCACGCCCCACACCCTCTCCACGCCCCACACCCTCTCCACGCCCCACACCCTCTCCCTGCCCCGCACCCTCTCCAGGCCTCACACCCTCTCCACGCCCCAACACTCCCCTCCATGCCCCACACCCTCTCCACGCCCCAACACTCCCCTCCACGCCCCGCACCCTCTCCCTGCCAGGCTCTCCTCCCATGGCCTTGACCTACAGGTAGATGGCGGCTCCTGGCGCAGAGCCTGTCCTGACACCTCCCTTGCGCCCCCAGAGCGCTTCCCCAAGGCGGTTCTGTTAGCCTTGGTGGCTGTGGACAGTCCAGAAAGGTCAGGCTGGTCTCTGGGGTGGTCGGGTGGGGGACACCCCAACTCCAGCTCAGCTTGGAAGTGGATTCAGAGCTCAGTGTAGCCAATCAGAGCCCAGGATGCCCCCTGCCCACAGTGATTGGCTGGGTGTGGCTCCCCCTCACCCAATGGGAGCCCTGGGAAAGCATTGCTAAGAGGAGCAGAGGGTGGGAAGGAAGCGGTAATGGGGGTGCAGGCCCGGGCACCCACCTGAGGAAGCAAATGTCAGAGATCTCTGCTCAGGCCACGGGCTGGTGCCTGGGAGCCAGCAGCCTGTGGCTCCTCCCCCGAGGGCCGTGGGCCTGCGTTAGGAAACAGATGGCCCTGATCAGAGAATAAGGGCCTCCAGGCTCTGTCACTCCGCTGCCTGCTCCTGTGCTAGGTTCCTCAGACGCTGAGTGAGTCCACAGCCCCACCTCCGAGGGCTGCTACCCTGTCCCCCTGCAGAAGCCTGTGGTTTACTGTCCTCGAGAGGGTTGGAGGGCCCGGCCCACCAGCCCAGAGCTCCTCCCACAGCAGCGCTGAAGGCAGAAAGGGCAGCGCTCTGGGGCAGGTCCCCGCTGACGCCGGGCACCTCCGCGGGCACCAGTCAGTGCAGGCCCCGGGCAGGTTCCATTTGCTGGAAGGAGCCGAGTCTGCTGGTCCCAGGACCCCCGACTCCTTGGGCACGGCCCAGGCTTTGCCATATTAATGCCCACGTCTGTGAAAACGGGCAGAGGCTGACAATCATCGTCCCCATTTTACAGATGGGGAAGGTGAGGCACCGAGTCCAGGGGGTCAGAGGAGCTGGAATGAGCCTGCCGTCCCCCAGGCCCAGTGGCGGATTCCAGAGGGAAGCACAGGGCAGCCGGGCAGCCAGGCCCACACAGAGCTCCCCTGCCTCCTCTTGGGATGAGAACGAGTGTGTCACCAGGAAGGCTGTGTTGAACGGAGGGCAGGACCTCTCAGAGCCTGCCGTCCACTCACAGGCATCGCGGGCCCCAGGCAGCAGTGCTGGGAGCAGCGCTCCCCAAATTCATGTGA